CGGCACATAACAACAACAAATGATTAATATTTTTGTTGTGGTGGTTCTGTACCGTCCAATCAGAACTAACTCATAGCTGACCCTCCAGCCACTTTTCAGAGAGGGTAAATCGCACCGAGGAGATCGCCCAGCCTCTCCCAGGGAGCAGCCGGTGGACTTGAATCCCGTGTTTTTGGGTTGACAGTGCAGCTCTATATCATTAGGCCAACAGAACACCCTTAATGTTAATTAGTAGGAGATTTCTTTTCTTTTTTACTTTAATTTCTTTATGTCTATAAAGTGGATAATCAGCCTGATATATTCTGATAATTTGTAGCTTTTCTTTGGGAAGTTTAGAGTCCATTTAATGAGATTCTCTATATGATTGGATTGTATTGCAATCCTATCATTTAACCCAGTTGTATTTATTTCTTCATAGACAGTCTTTATTTCTTAAAGTGTGTGTTGGAGAGAATTAGATGTTGTCCCAGGCTTACTTAAGATGCTTAATCTCCTTCTTGCTCATTTTTCATGTAATTTTCACTTGTGATTTGGATGAAGGGAACAGTTCATGCACATACTGTTTTGTGACTTTACTTTTGAGCTTTATTATGGTTATTTTAATAATTTATGTTCATTTCGAGTTTGCTAATCTCTTCTGTGGTATTTATCAATCTAATCTTGTGTATTTTTACCTCAGATTTTCTTTTTCATCTCTAAAGTATGTTTAAATCCACGCTTGTGCTTCTCCTGAACCTGCTCTTGTGTTTCTACCTTCTTTAACGTGGATATTTTTATAGTGTGGTCATTTTTTTTTTTTAAATTATTGTTACTATGTGTGAGTGTACCGTCAAATCGGATCTGACTGGTACAGGAGGAGACTGTCCCTCCTTCTCCAGCACAGCATCTAGTGGATTAGAACTGCATACCCCTAGGATTGCAGTGCAGCTTCTCGCCACTAGGCTACCAGAGTTCCTTTACAGTGTTTTCTTAAATGCTTTATCTTTAGTGTATTATCTGTGTCATTTCAGTTTTATATGCTTTCTCCTTATCAGTCATATTTTCTGGATCTTTGCATGTTGTTTGTTGTTATGTGCCGTCGAGTCGCCTGCGACTCATAGCGACCCTATGTACAACAGCCCTAAACTCCGCTCTGTCCTGTGCCAATCGCACTGTCTCTGACACTCCCATCCCGATTAACCCAGTCACTGAATCAATCCACCTCATAGAGGGCCTTCCTCTCCTGTGCTGTCCCTCCACCCTCCCAAGCATGATGTCCCTCTCTAAGGACCGGTCTCTCCTCACAACATGTCCAAAGTATGTTAGACGGAGCCTCAGAATCCTTGCCTCCAAGGAGCCACCCGGTTTAACCCTTTCCAGGACAAATCTGTTTGTTTTCCTAGCAGATCTTTGCATACCTTATATATTTTAATTGGATGCTAGAATCCTGAGACATGCTGAGGATTCTATACATTAAGCATTAGGCTTCTAACTGAAAGATCAGTGGTTTGAATCCACTAACTGCTCTGAAGGGAAAAAATGAGGCAGACTTTTCTCTTAAAGACTCTTAGCCTCAGAAACCCTGGGATTCAGCTCTACTCTGTCGTGTAAGACACTGCGAATGAGAATGCACCTCGTCAGCTGTGCTCTTTCGTGTAGGACACTGTGAGTTAGAGCATTGTGACATCAGCTCTGTTGGTAGGATACTCTGAGTTGGGACCGACTTGCTGGTCAGCTCTGCTCTGCCGTGTCGGACACCGTGAGTTAGGATGCCCTTGATGGTGGTGAGTAGATAGCATCTTCTTTGTTGTTGGACGCTGGCCATTTTTTCAATTTCTGAGACATAATTAACTGCAAAGTTTGATCTTTTTGAGGCTTTAAGACTTTGATTAGGTTGGTTCTGCATAGGCTTTAGTCAGAGGCAGAGTTTCTCAATTTCAGAACTGTTGACATTTTGGGACCAGATTACCCTGGTTTTGCTGGGATCTTCTGTACTTGCAGGCTGCACAGCACTGCTTCTGGGACCACCCTGCACTAGAGGCCTGTAGGCTCACTGAGCCATCCACCCAGAGTGGGCTTCACAGTTTAAAAACCTGGCCTGCTGGCCAGCCTAAATCCCTTCCACAGACATGCCGCACGGCCTCTGCCCACTCCTTCTGTGATTCCTCCTTTGAACGTTCCCGCCAATGGCTGGAACATCTCACTGATCCCTCACTTGTTTAAAGAAAAGCTTTGGCACATGTTTGCCTTTAAAAAAAGTAAGTTGTTTTAAAAAAAGAAGCATGTCTATCTGAGACCACTGCATGTGGCCACAGCAGTGAAAGTATGTGCATTCTAATCCTTGGTGTGGAAGACATGCTTTTGTAGCTTGGGACAACTGGTATGGGATGGGAAAGTTCTTATTTTCCTGATGTAGGGAGTAGTTAAGAGCTTGGAGATCAGAAAGCCTATGCTTGAACTTCAGTTTCTTTTCTCTTCCCTAGTAACTTTTGGATGGTGGAAAGTTTTACCTCTCTGCACTTCAGTTTTCTATCTTGTATAATGGAACCAATATGTGTTTATCAGTTAGGTTTGCTAGAGAATTACATGCAGTAAGGAATTCAGGAGCACATTGCAGGGCACATGGTCACGGTCATTGTAAGGAGTGTGTGTCACGTACAGGTAATGAGGTTGAGTGCATCGATATTGTCTCATTTTTTGCTAATTTAGAGGATTATCATCTGTTCTCTTTCAGGTCACGCAGAAGGATTTTGCATGATGTGCACAATGCAAGCTCACATCACCCAGGCGCTCAGCAATCCTGGAGATGTTATTAAACCAATGTTTGTCATCAACGAGATGCGACGTGAGTCCCATTCTGGTAGTTTATGTCAGTGCTGGCTTGTGACTTGATCTTAAACTCAGGAGTTGTCAATAAACACTGTTATTTTACAGTGCCCTTTCCCCCTCATTGGTATTTGGGTTTCTGGAAATAATTTTGATAAATATTTTCTGACAGTTTTTAGTAGTTTTTAATTCATTTCAATTTGATGAATGACTACTATGCTATGCATAGTGAGAGAAATTGCAAAGTTAATGATTCTCCTAAAGAAAAATTTATACTCCTAGTTCAGCATTTATAGATAAGTTTTACTTTTTAAATTTTTATTTTTACTTTTAAAAAATTTTTCTTTCACTGAAGCTGATCTCATTTATATTTGATTTTTAAATTATTTACAGATTTATTTTTTCTTTTGCCTTATAATTATCCTGCTAGGTTGCTTGAATTTTTCTTTAATTTTTTCTTTGTTGTTTTGCATTGTATTTTTACAACATCCTTATTCATTTAGTTGGGTTAAGAAATGGACACAAAGCAAAATATTGCAACTCTTAATCTGGTATCCAGCTGGGTAATTACAAAGGTGCATAATTAAGTAGTGAGGGGTGGTAATTCTTCTGCTTAAAAAGCTGCTGAAAATTGAAGAGGTGTTATTGCTGGGCCAGAACAGACAGTGCAGTCTGTAAGCCAGTGTTGGGTCCTGGCAAAATTTTAACCAGGGGAGGTTTTTGTTTGCTTTTAGTTAATTTAGACACACGTACACCCTCCTCTCCACACATGAGAATACATATACGTGTGAGTATACATGTGTGTGTTTGTGTGTATGGGGGAGAAACAGTTAATTTTTTAAAACCTACACTTGAGAAAATGACATTTCTGTATATTTGTATGTATATACATTCCTAAAGAGATAACACACACAGTAGGATCATGTATTTGTGCTGTTTTTATAGGTCTATTTGGTAGAATACTTGTAGTTACATGTGATGTAAGCTAGTAAGTATTTATATGCAATCAGATCTAAAATTTGACAGAAAATTATTTATTTATTAAGAAATTTTATTTTATTAACTTTTTGTCTCTATACCGTCAAATCAGATCTGACTGGTACAGGAGGAGATTGCCCCTCCTTCTCCAACAGAGCATCTGGTAGATTCGAACCACATATCTCTGGGATTGCAGTGCAGCTTCTTGCCACTAGGCCACCAGAGCTCCCTAGAAAATAGTTTATTTTGATACTACTTTTTTGTGATTATCTGCTTTGTTTTATATGTAATTTGATCTTGCATGTAGGGCAAATAACACGGAACCATGCAGCTGAGAGAAGAAAATTCATTCTGTGGGTCATTGGGATAGAATTTATCTTCTAGGAGGGATAGAATTTGGGTTTGAACATTTATGGATGCATGAATTGTTGTAATGGAGATTCAGCATCAAATTTAAAATCTCTACGCCAACATCGTAACATTTAAAAACAATATCTATTTTTTGAGACCAATATACAGCACCATTTCAACAGTTTGTACATGGACAGACAGTTCAGTGATGAAGCCATAACATTTTTGACAAATTTTTGAGAAAGTACAGCCAAAGTGGAATGTACGTAAGTCCAGTTTCAAAAGCCTATAGCACGGGCTGCATCTGTGGCTGTTCTCTGGAGTTTGGGAAACCTCGGCCCGACTGTGGGGTTTAATGGTCTGAGTGTGGACCCAGCTGCTCTGCTGATCACTTGTTATTAGTACTAACTGCTCAGGAAATAACTGTTCAGTCTATTTTCTAATTATATTATCATAAGCTATTTATGGAGACTAACCTGAACACTAATGATAAATTGATGTCTTTACTTGCATTTTGCAGGAATAGCTAGGCACTTCCGTTTTGGAAATCAAGAAGACGCCCACGAATTCCTTCAGTACACTGTTGATGCTATGCAGAAAGCGTGCTTGAATGGCAGCAATAAGTAAGTCCAGCACACCTCTGGCTGCGTCTTCTGCAGCTCAGCTTTATCCAAAGTCAGTTTTGCCTTTTATGTTGAAAACTGCACAGATGTGTATTTGTTTCTCCTTTTGCCTGTCTTGCTTCTTTCCCAAACTATTTGCATTTTCCGACAGTTGTTGAAAATTTAGAAGGGTATGCTTGCTGTCAGCAAGAGGTTGTCAGTTATTGGTGCCGGGGAGGAAAGAAGCCTTGGCATTGCCGTTGAGTTCTGGGTGTCTGTTGAGCTCTCGGATCTGAAGCGCATAGGGTTCCCTTATGAGTTACCCTGTCGTTTTCTGTGCTGCCTGCTAGCCTTAGAAATTTGTATGTGTGTTCCCTGCATCTTTCTCACTCTGGTCACTTGCCAATTCCTGCAGCTGCTTCCTTGAAACCTACATGCAGGCTCAGGAGGAAGATCAGGGAAACAGCTAGATGACAAATCCAGACCATGTGCTAGCCCCTGGCCACTGCTGTCCCTCTCCAGGGCCCTCTGGGATGACAGACCTGGGGTGACAGGAATGTGCGGAATCCCTGTGTCACACGCCTGCTGTGGTCTCCTCTGGCTTCTTTTGTTGTACAGTCCAGTCATAACACCTCTGCTTGGGCTTGAACATGGCTCTCATGGCACATTGTGTGTTTGTTTGCAGATTAGATAGACATACCCAGGCAACCACGCTCGTTTGTCAGATATTTGGAGGATACCTGAGATCTCGAGGTAAGCGTTTGTGTTAAACCTGACGAGTGAGGCATGTGTGTGGTTTTTAAAAAAGCAAATAATAGGCGAGGGCTAATAGGCGAGGCCAGTTTTCCAGACTGTCCCTTTCTCTAGAAGGCAGCTCCGATGCAGTGTGTCCACCCCTTTGATGGGCTTCACGCTGCTGTGCATCGCGGTTGCGTGTTTTCGCAGATTGAAAAGACTCTGGCCACCTGGTCAGCCTCACTTTGGCTACAGCATGTGCCTCCTCCATGTCTCAGTGTCACATTTTGATAATTCCCAGAGTCCCCACTTTTTCATAATGCTGCTGCACACTTGAGATTCTCCCACATGGTGTAAACGTGATGCTCACATACATGGGGAAAGCAGACCAAAGTGGGGACTCTGTGGTGCTGGACTTGATGGAGGTGACCCAGGTGTGGCTGGACATCCTTGCAGGGCTTTGCCGTGTGTTCAGGGACTCGGGGCAGACCGGAAGGGTCCCTCTCATCCTGTTGCCCACATTAGAATTTTAGCACGTCAGCATGAACAGAACAAATTTTATAATTATTAAAATCTAACAGTCTTTTCACAATTCCACTAATGCTTTTTTTATTGATGTAGTTCCCTACTGATGGTTATTTAGGTGATTGAAAAGTTGGGTTTTTTTCCCTTTTTGAATTACTATTTAGTACTTCTTTGAACATCTCTTTATGTATACTCTATGTCCATGTAAAAGTGTACACATACATAAAGCATATTTATTTGTAGGATCAGTTCTTCGGTTGAGATTATTAGACCGAAAGGATATGGGTATTTAAAGTTTGCTATTGCTGTATTGTAATACCAAACTTCAGCTATCCAGGGAGCTCTGGTGGCCTACTGCTAAGAATTGCACTGAAATCCCAAAGGCACACAGTTGAAATCTACCACCTTCTCCACAGGAGAAAGATAGCAATCTCCTTCCATGTGATTAAACTGCCCCTGAAAAACCACTGCAGGGTCAGCTGTGGGCCGATTCCAGCTCTATGGTACGCACCAGTAACAGCATTGCCATATTATATTTTCTAGAGGTAATACCAAGGAGCCCTGGTAGCACAGTAGTTAAAGCACACAGCTGCTAACTGAAAGGTTGGCAGTTCAAACCTGCTAGCTGCTCCAAGCAGAGCAATTCTGCACTGTGCTAAGGGTCACTGTGAGTCAGGACGAACTTTACTGCAACAGGTTGTTTTTTTGTTTTTGCTTAGAGATTATCCCAAATGCATTACACTTTCACCCACACTGTGCCTATTACTGAAATTTTGAACTTTTTGTCAAATCTAATTGAGAGAAAATGGTACCTTTATTTTTTTATTTTGACATAGGAGTTGTATCATGTCAGTTTGAGACTGTGGTTAACAATTACATTTGGCTTATACTTTGCATTTTCTTCTCTTTCAGTTAAATGTTTAAATTGCAAAGGTGTTTCAGATACTTTTGACCCCTATCTCGATATAACATTGGAGATCAAGGTAAATTTTATAAGTGTTATGATAGTTAAGAAGTTTGTCATCGTTCACATAATTTCATAGCTCTTTCCTTACTTAACCTCTGCTTGTTAGAATATGAATTGAAAATTTTCAGTGTGCTCAGACTTCACTTAAAGGTGATTATTCAAGCTCTGTAGTTGTTGTTATGTGCCATCAAGTCACCTATGACTTAATAGTGACCCTGTATACAGCAGCTCTGAATCCTGCTCTATCCTAAGCCAATCTTACTGTCTCCGACACACTTACCTCCATTACCCCGGTCACTGAGGCAATCCATCTCATCGAAGGTCTTCCCCTCCACTCTCCCAAGCATATTGTCCATCTCCAAGGACTAGTCATTCCTTGCAACATGTCCAAAGTATGTCAGTGGAGCTTCAGAATCCTTGCCTCCAAGGAAGCTTTGCAGTAGGCATCATAAAAATTTCAAACATTTCATCTTTTTATTAATTCTTTGACTTTTTATTGATTAATTAATCTTAGAAAACTCAGAATATTTTGGTACCAACACTTGCTCTGGTGTGATCTTTTTGTATTAGTCTAATTGAGATGGTGATCATTCTTCAGAAAGTTTGGTCCTTCGCAGTTTCTAAACTCCTTTTTTCCACTGTTCACAAGCTTTTGTTTTTCTGATTACAAATGAGAATGCATGCTTATAAAAACGGAACATTGTAGAGACATCCATAAAATGTCATCTCTTAGAATGCTCTCTTGCTAAGAGTTTGATGTACTTGTTCCAGGTTCCAGAATGCATTTATGTATAAAACAAAGCCAGGCTGTTTCTTTGTGCCTGCTGGACCATTTACTGTCTCCATGTAACTCTACTTTGGGCACTTTTGGGGGAGTTGTGTGCTCTTGGGATGGCTGCGTCGGGACCAGTGACCAGATAACCATGGTTGACTTCCAGCCTCTGCAGGGAGGCGAGCTGCGCACCCAAAGGCCGCGTCTCTGGCACTTTCGGTCTAGGGCCAGTGAGCAGTCTCCTCCCTTGTGATCTGCAGCCGCGGGAATCCGAGGGCAGGCAGCCAGAGTCCATGCCATGCAACGGCAATGCGTGGTTTTCCTTTGTGAGAACTCTTTGCGGCTAGACAGCTTGGTTCTTTTGAGCTTTATGCTGCCTTTAATCAGTGCAGCAAGCAGCCTTTTTACCTTTTGTTTTTGTTTTTGTTTTGTGTTTTTTTGCCTTTTTACCTTTTTTTGTTGATACAGGTCTGCTTGGTTTTTAATGAAGGACAAGAGTGAAGGTGCTTATGTAGAAAGAGCATCCTAATGAGGGAGGATTGTGTTGAAGCACAGACTTGCATGTCTCCTGTCACCTGCTTCCCTCTGTTGTGACATGAGTGTGCTTGTCTCTCCTCAGGCTGCTCAGAGCGTCAACAAGGCCCTGGAGCAGTTCGTGAAGCCAGAGCAGCTGGACGGGGAGAACTCCTACAAGTGCAGCAAGTATGACGGTGGGGACCGTGGGAAGCCCGCTCACAGGCACGCAGACGCCCAGGGCTCTGAGTGACCTGTGCATACCCTTAGCTCCTGGTCTCGTCTGGGCAGACACTGAGTCCCTGACCTCCCAGGACCAGAGTAGACAGGGTCTGACCGTGTTAAGCTGCGGCATGTCATTCCTGGGGCGGGTGAGGAAGGAGAGTGAGAAATGAGCCTTGAAAAGCCACCCTTGGCTGCTGCCCCCAAGGAAGGGACAGCTTTGGCTCCCGGGTCTCTGTCCCACTTTTACCTTTCGCCGACTTCCTGCACAAAGGCTGGTGGGGCTGGGGACTTGCCTTCTCCCACAGTGGTTAGGCCCCAGTCTTGGGGTGGTTACCTAGGGTTTGGGGTTGTAAGTGTACTGTGTTTCTTCATGAAGTCAAGAAAACCAATTTTTAAAAAGCCAGGTTACTTCCGTTTTATGATTACTATTTCCAGTCAGGTAATACGGACAGTCTATTTTCAGATACTCATTTTTAGTGGGAAGAGACTCCCTTCTAGCCACCCACTGCCCTTAGGTCAGTTCCACCCACAGTGACCCTTGATTGGTTTGTGGGGGCTGTGAATCTTTGTAGGAATGACGCTGCATCTTTCTCCGTTGAAGCAGCTGGAGGGTTTGCACTGCCTGCCTTTCGGTTAACAGCCTGATTGATGCCTTATATGTGCACTGTGCACCAGGGATCTTCTTTCCAAGATGATAGAAATTTCCCAATCTGTTGCATTACTAATCTTTATCGTTCTGTATCAGAGGGGTTTTTTAACTCTTTTGTGATTTGGGTGAGTTTTCCATTTGGCAGTTCACACACGTTTTGTTCAGTGACTCTTGACACAGCGTGACAGCACTCTTCTCACGTCCTCCCTTTTGCCTGTCTCCATTTCTCCTCTCCTCGCCCCCCTGCCTTCTCCAGGGCAGATACTGGCCTTTGGACCTTGTACGGATCTTTATCTTCTTAGGTTCAAGTTTTTAAGAGTGGATACAGGTCATCCACTTGGCTCAGCATCTCAGAAGGGGCTTCTGTTGTCCTTTCATGCAGCAGTTTCTCCCTGATTTGTAATTTTACTGTTTTCATCATTGGGCAAAGGGGCAGTATTTCTTACAGAGTTAGCTCTTTTGTGGGGGTCTTGGTGGTGCAGTTGCTAAAGAGTGCTGCCAACCAGAAGGTTCTTGGTTCAAACTCACGAGCTGCTCGACGGCAGAAAGATGAGCTGTGTGCTTCCGTGAAGAGTCACAGTCTTGGGAACCCTGTTGGGCAGTTCTGCTTTGTCCTGTGGGATTTTTAGGAGTCAGCATTGACTTGATAGCAATGGACTACTTCTTTCGAAAACCAACTTTAAATGTTTCAAAGAAATAGGAGAAAGACTGTGATGCCAGAAAATGTATATACTAACCATCTCAACCGTTTGTTTACAGGTGTAAAAAGATGGTTCCAGCGTCAAAGAGGTTCACTATTCATAGATCTTCCAATGTTCTTACACTCTCTCTGAAACGCTTTGCAAATTTTACTGGTGGAAAAATTGCTAAGGTACGTAGCTGGTACTCAGATTGTGAACGAGACTTCATAGTGGGCCTTCCAAGGGTAATGCTAGTAGCTGTAATTGGACAGACTTCCTAGGTCCTTCTAGCATTTGGGAGTTGGGGCCGATGTCAGGTTTGAGCCGGTAGTTTGATGAGTGGGTTGGATGTGTCTTCCCCACACCTTTGGTGGCCGGGCTGTTTGTAACTGTGACCTGTGTCTGCCTTCAGAGTCTGTCCATCAGCCAGGGAGCAGCTGAGTGTGCACGGGGACTAAGGTCCCGAAGACGCCCCAGCCTGTCCCTGCCCCCTTTACATCAGAGAGATCGTTCTCCCATTTGCACCTTTCTTTTTGATGAGCAACATTTCCCCATTTTATTTCCACTTTCTGAAGATCCAGAGTAGACATAAATGCAGCAACATACAAAAGAAATAGAAGTCATTTTGTAATGATTAAAAAATAATAAATGATGATTCCGGTCCAGTGATGTCACTCTAGTGTTCCCTTGAGTGAATTTGAAGAGCTTTAACTTGGATCTTTATTTCCTAAAAAGAAGACAAAATAGAGTGAGCTGCTTTTAAATACACTTTGTTCTTGAACTTGGGGATATATCAGGACCGCCCTGTGAACCCAGTTCGTCCGGGTCCACATGCTGCCCGAGCCAGCACCCAGTGATCAGTCTTCCAGAATGACGACCCCCTTCTCCCCATCTGCGTGTAGGATGTGAAATATCCTGAGTATCTTGATATTCGACCATACATGTCTCAGCCGAATGGAGAACCAATTATTTATGTCCTGTATGCAGTCCTGGTGCACACCGGTTTCAACTGCCATGCAGGCCATTACTTCTGCTACATAAAAGTAAGTTGAGCGTGGAAGTGGCTGTGAGCTCGTGGTCGAGCCCCACTCATGGGGACACAGGCGTCTGAGGCGGGAAATGCTGCCCTTTACTGAATTACATTCATTTGTCTTTTTGGCTGTTTTCGTAGGCAAGCAATGGCCTCTGGTATCAAATGAATGACTCCATCGTGTCTACCAGTGACATTCGGTCGGTACTCAGCCAGCAAGCTTACGTTCTGTTTTACATTAGGTATGTCAAGAAAACAATTCTCCGAATCTGTTTTGTCACATTGTTTATACACATATTTTATATATGTACATACTGTTGTTCTATGCTGTCGAGTCACCTGTGACTCATAGTGACCATATGTACAACAGCCTTAAACCCTGCTCCCGCACTCCTCTGCCAGTCTTACTGTCTCTGACACACCCACCCGCATTACCCCAGGCACTGATGGTACTCGTTCGGACAGATGATAATCCATTTCATCGAGGGTTTTCCACCCTCCCAAGCGTGACGTCCTTCTCCAAGGACTAGTCCCTCCTTGCAGCATGTCCAAAGTACATCACACGAAGTTTCAGAATCCTTGCCTCCAAGGAACAGCCTGGTCTCACCTTCTATAGGACCAACCTGTTTGTTCTCCTCTTCTCGTTTCATACACCTATCATTCAATACTCTTCTCCAACACCACAGCTCAAAGGCATCAGTTCCCCTTCTGTCATCCCTAGTCACTATCCAGCTTTCTGATGCATAGCAAATAATTGCAAAGACATGGCCTGGGTCAGGCGCCCCTTAGTCTCCAGACTGACATTGTTGCTCTGCAGTATTTTAGAGAGGTCTCTGACAGCAGACTTTCTAATGCTATACGTCTTTTAATTTCCTGGTTGCTGGTGCCAAGAGTGTTGATTGTGGAGCCAAGCAAACTAAAGCTGTTTACAATCTCAGTCTCTTCACCATCTATCACGATGCTGCAAATCGTCTCAGTGGTGAGAATCTTTGTTTTCTTGATATTGAGCTTCAATCCATATTGAAGGCTGCAGTCCTTGACCTTCTGCAGCAAGCGCTTCAGGTCCTTCTCAGTTTCAGCAAGCAGGGTTGTGTCATCTACATAATGCAGATTGTTGATGAGTTTTTCTCCAATCCTGATGCTACGTTTCTTTCTCCTCATAGAGCCAGTTATCGAACAATATTATAAATATCATATGCAAGCAAAATTCTGCTGAAAATTAGCCAAAAACAACTGGAAAGGCACAGTAGCAGAGAAGTACCAGAAGTGCAGGCTGGGTTTAGAAGAGGCCGTGGTACTAGGGATATTATAGCTAATGTTAGATCGATCTTGGCTGAAAGCAGAGGAATGTCTATCTGTATTTCATTGATTATGCAAAGACATTTGACTGTGTGGATCCTAACAAACTGTGGCTGACTCTGAGAAGAATGGGAATCCCAGAACACTTGATCATGCTTATGAGAAACCTGTATTTGGACCAAGAGACAGTTGTCAGAACAGAGCAAGGAAACACTGCATGGTTCAGAATCAGGAAGGGTGTATACCAGGGATATGTCCTATCTCCATCTGCACATAAATATATATACATTAATGGATCATTTTTGTTGAGATGTTCATTTGCTGGTTTGTGTGTTATGTCTGTTGAGGTATTCACTCGGAGGAGCCCTGTTGTTGCCTGTGGAGTAGGAGTGGCTGTGATATTTACAGAGCAAATTGCAGAGCCCAGTTCTCCCATAATGCTGCTGAGTGGGTTTGAACAGCCGGCCTTTCAGTTATTGGCTGAGAGAGACTATTGGTGCTGCCCAAGGACCCTGATAATACTGTTTAACAGCAGCTTACCAAGTACCTTTGCCGTGTGCCCCGAGAGAGGCTCTGACTCTGCTTAGAGGATTGGCTCTAGTTCTCAGCTCTTTGGCCGCTGAGGTGAAGGATGGTTCATGCTGCAGCCAGGACACAAGTGGGCCTGGGGGCCATAGGGGCCATACATGGAGGCAGTGAGGGCTTCTGAGCAGCAGGCATGGGCACCGTGGCCCCTCTGTTGCCCAGCCAGCACTGGCCCCAGCAGCAGCAGCTTGGCCGGCTTCCTATCCTGTCTCTGTTGCATCGTCTGCCTCTCTAGCTCTATTTCCAGAAGTGTGGCCTTTGGGGAAATCTGCTCTGTGCTGCCAGGTGTTTGTGTGTAAGATGGCCCTCAGCATTCCAGAGGCCGCGCAAGTACGTTGCACTCTGTCCCCGTGTAGCTGCCCACCCAGTGGCTAGAAAGCTGCTGTTCCTAAAGAAAATGCTTACGTCAAAGTGTTCACCGTACAGGGGACTTGATGCGGTTTGGAATTTTAGCACCTGACTTAGAAAGTGCTGCTGACTGACAATGACAGGCCGTCTCCGAATCTGAGTAAGAGATGCCTGCAAGCGGTGGAAGGTCGCCCGTGAACAGTGGAGGCACCCCACAAGTGGTGGAGGGACCCCTGTGAATGGTGGAGTGTCACCCTCGAGTGGTGGAGGGACCCCTGTTGTGAGTGGTGGAGCGCCTCCCGTGAGTGGTGGAGTGCCACCCTTGAGTGTGGAGGGTCACCTGCGAGTGGTGGAGCGCCTCCTGGCAGCAGTTAACACCCTCAGTTGACAACTGAAAGGCCAAGGATTAAAACAACCCGAGGGCTCATGGGGGAAGGATGCGCAGTCGGCTTCCTTACAGGTTTGCAGCCTCGGAAGTCTTGTGGGCAGTTCCGTGCCCTCCGGGGTCCTTGACTGAAGGGCAGTGGGTTTTCTGAGCCGTCGGAAGGATGGTCATGCTGCTGCTGTTTTAGCTTTCTTGGATGTCATAGGTTTATATAATTGGTGGATATTTGCAATCAGAACAATACAAAGAAAAGGCAATGCGACTTCAGATAGGGACCACCTCAAAATACGTAGCTAGGAGTCCCACCGACCGCTTGTCCTTGTCCCCCAACCCCTGTCCCCTGGCTCAGTCTGCAGGAGAACCTGTGTGGGAGGTTCTGAGCACAGTGCTTATCACCAGAAAGTGAAAAGATGCTGCTTTTCCCCTTCTTTTCAGATTTTAATGAAAGATTAGAGAGAACTTGGGTTTCCATTCATTCCTTGTCACACATTTTCCTCCTTGCCCCCATTTGCTTTTCTCTTTGAAAAAGAATTCTTTCATTATTGTACAATCCGCACCCCTCCCAATCCACTTTACTATGCAGCTCTTATTCCAGACTGTTGTCATGTAGATAATACCTAATCACATATTCCTTTTAGGCAGTTCTCTCCCTTATCTGTTTCAATGCAGTGTACATTATACCCTCTTTTCTTAGTTCCCCACCAACCCTCATGTCAGTCGGTCCTGTTTTATAAGTGGTACCATGCAGTGTTTGCCCTTTTGACTGAGATATTTCCCTCGGCATAACGTCCTCCAGGGTCACCCATTTTGTAGAATATTTCATGAGCTCCTTGTTTTTCGGTGCTGCGTAGTACTCCATTGAAGGATACACTGCTTTTCTTTGCAGCCTCTGACCCGCGCCCACTGCACTCCTGTGGCCACCCTGTGTAACCACAAGCCCTGCCACTCTCTACCCCCAGGTCCCATGATGTGAAAAATGGAGGCGAACTTATGCATTCCACTGGCCACAGCCCAGGCCCGTCCTCACCCCGCCCAGTCATCAGCCAGCGGGTGGTTAGCAGTAAGCAGGCAGCGTCGGCGTTCATCGGACCCCAGCTCCCTTCTCACGTGCTGAAGGTAATCGCACAAGTAGAAGCTACAGGGTCTTGTGTGGGAGTTGTCGACGGTACACTCACACCTGCTGGCTCACACTGCTGAGCTGCCGTGCCTGTCGACTCTGGGCTTATTAGAGTCAGTAAAGTAGCTTCCAGTCCTTTCTTTGTTCCAAAATGTTTAAAACATACAGAAATCACAGTGTGAACGAATGCAGAGGCCAGAGGAAATCTGGGTGTTTGTTATTGCTGTTGATTCTGTTCAGCTCCCGGTGCCTCCCGTGTGTTTGGAGTAGAACGGCCCAGAGGTTTCTCAGCTGTGATCCTCAGGGAAGGAGCACAACAGGCCCTTCCTTCATGGAGCTGCTGCATGGGTTTGAACTGCCAGCCTTTAGGGTCATGGTCCAGCGTAAACCTACCATCTATGGCTTTCCTTTCAGAATCCGCCTCACTTAAATGGGACAGGACCCTTGAAAGAAACGCCGAGCAGTTCCATGTCGAGCCCCAATGGTAACTCCAGTGCCAGCAGGGCCAGTCCTGTGAGCGCCTCAACTTCTGTCCAGAACTGGCCCTTGAGCAGGTCCTCAGTTATTCCAGAACATCCCAAGAAGCAGAAAATCACCATCAGTATCCACAACAAGCTGCCTGTTCGCCAGGGCCAGCCTCCGCCTAGCCTTCACAATAGCTCTCTGGAGAGCCTTCCCAAGCCCGCTCCCTCCTCCACCATCACCAACTCTTCTGCAATACAGTCTACCTCGAACGCATCTCCACTGTCCGTTTCTAGCAAAGTAACCAAACCGCTCGTCACCCCCAGTGAAGCTTGTCCGAAGCCCATGATGAATGGCAAGTCCAAGCTGAGCTCCAGCGTGCTGGTTCCCTACGGTGCCGAGTCGTCTGAGGAGTCTGACGAGGAGTCCAGGGGGCTGGGCAAGGAGAACGGGCTCAGTGCCTCCGAGGACTTCCATCCCAGTCTCCACGCCGAGGACGCCCAGGCTTCTCCGCATGAGCTCCAAGCGCCCATTACCCTCAACGGTGCTAACAGTATGGACAGCGACCCGCAGGAGAACGGCCTGCCCTTTGAGGGTATCAGCTGCCCAGGCCAGGCTGCTCCACACTCGGAAAACCCCTTCTCCAAGGCCAACGGTCTCCCCGTGAAGGTGGGTGACAGTGGTAGCTCTGCACTGCTGTCCTGGGCCAAGCGGGTGGCTGCACCAGGCAAGGTTTCTGTGGGGCTGGGCTGACGCGGCACCTGATGGAGCCTTTGTTTCTCTGTCCTAGTTGATGCCAGCACCTCTGCCACCTCTCCCAGAAGACAAGATCCTCGAGACCTTCAAACTTAGTAACAAAGTGAAAGGCTCCGTGGAAGAACCCAGGTGAGACGAGAAAACTGGGCCAGGTGATGCTGCTTGGTGGGGAGTCTCCCTGGAGCCTATTGGTGGGGTGTCTGCTGAGCACTTTTTGGAATCCTGGGATGATTTGAACAGTAGCTGTAGGATTTGTTCATTTGCCTTTTCAAAAGGAAAAGATAAGTCCCTGAGAGGAATGCGTTCACGCTCCTGTTTTCTCCTGTGTAGCTGCCTGGTCTCCCTTCAGGGCTGCTATGGGCACCACCTGAGCCGAGCCCCTGGCGCCGCCTCACGTAACGCCCTTGGTGACAGTGTGTGTACCTCGGACTTGCTGGACCCAGTGCCCAGCTGCGGCCTTCAAGTGAGGACCGCGGCAGAGCGAGTGCTACACTTTAACCTCTCTCAGTACATGTAAAAGTTGCATTTGTCATCTGTTAGCGTGAAGTAGAGAATTACCAGAGCGAGACACCAAGACAGGACATGGGTGCATGTGTTAGGGAGCCAGAGCTGAGGGGCGAGCTGAGTGGAGTGTGGCCACGACCTCCCCCTGATGAACACATCATCAGGATATGTGAGCGCAGCCACACAGTGAACTCACACGAGGTGCGTCTGTGGACGGAGGTAGAATGAGGCCACGGGCGGCAGCGCTCTGCTCTGGTTTTGCAGTCTCAGGAATGTCAGGCATGTGAGATTTAGGAGGCTGATTCACAGGGCGCGGGGAAGGGGTTGGAGCACTACCTGTGCTGAGACCCCATCACCATGACAACCCCAAAAGCTCCTCATGCTTCCAGAATGGTCCTAGCTGGTGAGCCCACTGAGGACCACCAGCATGAGGCATCTAGGGAACCCCGCCACCCCCAGACTCACGTGCCTGGCTGCTCTGACCCTGCAGTCCCCAGGACAGAGTGGAGCTAGCTGGGCATTTCTGCCACCGTCTGAGGAGGCAGGCCAGCGTCTCTCTGCTGGGCGTCCTGGCACTTAACAGCGTGTGCCACCAGGACTTCTGTTGACACAGGAGGGGCCTCTCCTGTAGCGCAAAGCACATCCAGGCCCCTGCGCGCCCGCCATCGCCAAGGGTAGTGGTCAAAGGGCAGCTCGGTCACCCCTGCAGTGACACCTGGCCTGGCGGTCCTCAGTCCTCATGCGGGCACCAGCGTGGGCTGCACAAGCCAAACCCCCTCACGCAAGTGTGAATGACTGGAAGGCTGGCTGGTCTCAGCACCCCACGGCGGGAGCTTCCTGTGCGGAACCCGCGTTCATTGTGTTCTCACTCTAGGTGGACCCCTGTCAAATGTGGTGGAGACCAACAAAGCATCCCGCTGCTCCTGGCAGCTTCGGTCCAGCTTAGACCGAGTCAGAGCCGAGCGGACGAGGACAGGTCTGTCCACTACGGGGTCCTGAGTCAGGTTCCTGGGTAAGGAGCCGACCACCACAGAACATACTGGAGTGTTCGGGTTCCGTCACTGAGGAAAAGACAGGTAGCTTCAGAAACAGGAGCCAGGAATGCAGGATGACTGACGTGGAGCAGGGTGAGAGGTCGGCTTGATAATAGTGTTTCATTCTTATTTAAGAAAATTCAGGGTTTTCAGTGATGACACACTTGATACTGCAATTTCGACAAACCTATTTAAAGGTCTAAGGTGTTTGTGTTTTGAAGTATTTATCTCTGTAAAGTATTTGACTCTCTAAGGTAGTGAGAAAAAGCTGTCCAGGCTGTCACACTAACCCATTTGTTTACTTGTCTTGGTGGGGGCTGCAGTGCGGCTAGACCAGAGATCAACCCTGCAGAGGGCCGTGAAGCTGAGCCAGAAGTGGCCAGCAGCACACCGGACCCCAGTGGGAACACAGCCACGGTCCCTGGGCCCGGCAGCAAGTTCAAGAAGGCGCCATTCCCCTCTGAGCCCAGCGTCAAACCTACCAAAGAAGAAGCGCCCAGAAACAGTTCCACGTCCCCCGAGGCCCTGTCCAGTTCCAGCGGTCTCTGCAGTGCTGGCAGGAGCACCTCGGAGGACGGGCCTCTCTCCAAACTGTGTGCCCCTGGGCCCCTAGCCAGCGACCAGCCCAGCCCACCACAGGACACAGCTGGGACGCTGACCGAGACTCCACAGGGCACAGCATCTGTGGGCACAGCGGACAGAGGGACCACAGCACCCTCGGTCAGTGCAGACGACGGGGATGAGCGGATGCGTGTCCTTTCCATCAGCCGGGAGCCGGAGGCGCTGCCTCAGAGCTCGGGCACGGCCACAGGGGGGCTGCCCACCCCTCGGGCGGACGGGCTCCCTGAAAGCCAACCGGACAGGCCCCCCGAGCCCAGCGGCAGCAAGAGAGAAGAGAGCACGGGGTTGCAGAAAGTCCCAGACCCCTCTCCAGTCAAAGAGAAAATCAGCCTGCGGAAGGTGGACCGAGGCCATTACCGGAACCGGCGGGACCGCTCCTCGAGTGGCGAGCGGCCTCGGGAAAGCCGGAGCCGGACCGAGGAGCACGGCCACAAGGAGAGGCCGACGTGCCCGCGGGAGCGGCCCCGCCAGGACCGCCACCAGCCCGGGCGCTGCAGCGCAGGCCAGCACCTCCCGGAGCCCAGCCCGCGGGCCAGCCCCAGCCAGCGCCACGGCCAGGGCCGCTCCAGCCACCACCACGCCCGGGGCCGCAGCTCGGACCAGGAGTGGGGCCGCTACCACCACGCGGAGAGTGAGCACTGCTGGGCCCGAGACAGGTACTACCCGGACAAGAGCCGCTGGGACAAGTGTCGCTACTACCATGACCGGTACGCGCCCTACTCGGCCCGCGAGGGCCGGGAGTGGAAGCCCTTCCACGGGGCCCGGGACTACGACCGCGCGGCCCCATACAGCTCGCGGCCGCACAAGGACTACTACCGCAGCCGGACCTACGAGCCGGCCAAGGCTAAGGAGCGCCCCCACTTCAGCCCCAGGCCCGGCCTGCCCCACGGGCTGCCGCTGTACCCCGACAAGTACGCCCACGACAAGCTCACCCTTGGCGCCGAGCTTGGCTGTCACCTGGCCGAGGGCTTTCACGACCAGGACCACGGAAAGGCCCGGAAGCGCAGGTATGGCAGCGTGGATGGGAGCGACGGCCCCGACAGGAGGGCCCGGGGCAGCTTGCAAAGGGACTCTCTCGACGAGCCCAAAGTCAAGAAGCACAAAAAGTCCAAGAAGAAAAAGAAATCCAAAGACAAACGCCGGGACCGGGACTCCAGGTAGGTGGGAGGGGGGCTCCCAGCATGGGCTGCGCGTGGGGGCGCCGGGTCATATGTGGGGGCACTGGGTGGCGCGGGCCTTCCCATGTGTGGGACGTGAGACTTCGCGGATTCCTCCGACTCAGCTGTGTGTGCAGCTCATCTCCTCCCACGGTCACAGGCAGAACCCCAAAAGCCAGAGTCTCGGCGATGCCGCCCGTGGGCTTTGTGGTCCCTGTTGCAGTGTGTGAAGTGTGCCATGGTGATAGAAGTGTGCAGCGTTGTGACAGTCACCAGCATGTGACAAGGAAGAAGCACGTGCTGTTTGTTGAAAGACGGCCCGCGTCACTTTGCTCAGTGCAGGGGGACCACAAACCCCCGATGAGGCCGAGACGCAGTCACGCGAGCCCACCCCCTCGGATCCAGACGCTGCCACCCTCTGGCTGATGCTTGTACCTTGGAGATTGACCTGTGCACAATCTGAAGGCGAAGCTCAGGGGCCTCTGACCACAAAGGTGGTGCCCAGACTTCGCTCACCCAAGGGGTTCAGGTTTCTCGTCCATGTTCGCGTCACGCTCAGTGATTGTCATTCAGGTGGACGGGAAGTGGCACATCCCTGTCCTATAGACGTTTGTCTGCCAGAGTAGGGGCTCTGAGCTGAACTGCCTGTTTTCTCGGCCTCTGACCGTCTGTCTCTGTGGTCAGTTTGAAACTCACTCGAGAGGTTTGGCTTTGTATCCTTAAAGGGTGGATGGGGGCTCTGGGAAATGACTTCTCCCTGATGTCTCGTAAAAACAAGGACAGACTCACCCTGGTTTTAGCCGGCAGCTCTTAAAAACGGAACTGGCAGGAGGGAACCTCAAACCCTGGGTAGAGTGGTACCTGAGGGAAGGGACCCCAGCCGCCTCGCCCCTGTGTACCCACCCCCAGCCCAGTAGAGCTGGCAGCCCCCTGCCGGCGTCGGAGCTGGGGGTGCCGAGGGAGGGCCTGTGGGGGCTGCAGTGGGTGAGTGCGAGGCCCTGAGCCCCCAGTTCTTGTCAGATGCACGTGTCCCTGTGTCTAGGCCAGCCTGTGCAGGGAGTGTGAAGCCAGGCAGTTTTGCTTTGCTTACTGTTTGATTCCGGCATGTTCTCTGGCAGGCGTCAGCAGGACTCAGATCTGTCGGTCGCGTATTCTGATGCCGACCTCCACAGACACAAAAAAAAGAAGAAGAAAAAGAAGAGACATTCGAGAAAATCAGAGGACTTTATTAGAGACTCTGAACTGCACTTAGCCAAGGCGGCTAGCTATGAGACTGTCGACAGCGTGCACAGAGCTGAGGGGGGCTTTCCCCTCGCCGCTGGCCTGCCTCTCGAAGGCTTCGGACCCTGCCGCCAGAAAGCAAAACAGCTGCGGACGGAGAGCAGGGACAGCAAGTGTCGCCTCTCCGAGTGTGGCCAGGGTAAGAGGGGACTTGGAGTTAAGAGCAGAGGAAGTGTTTGTTAATGGAAACTTTTTAAAGATCATTGACACATGAGCAAAATCTGCAGGTGGTGCATGAAGCCCACTGTTAGGGGAAGCCCGCCTGGCCCTCCTCCAGCCCCAGCTCTTGGGTGAGGGGTGTGACTCTGCGGTGGGGTTTGGACATTTCTCACCGACCCCTTAGCAGTCATGGGAAGCCCAGGTTCGTTCTAATCAGGCCCAACAAAACCATAACCTGGAGCCCCAGAGTAGATGGCTAAGGGTACATGTGCTCTAAAAGCATCTCATTGCCCTGAGTCGATTCTGCAGCTCAGTGATCTCTAGGACAGAGGAGAAGTACCCACACGGCCTGCTGGGCTCTAGGTCTTCACGGAAGCAGGCCCCTTCGTCTCTCTTACAGAGCTCCTGGCGGCTTTGAACCTCTGACCTTTCTGTTAGCAGCTGAGTGCTTAAACAGAGTACCACCAAGGTTCCTTTTTTAAAATATTAAAACTCCTTGTGGAATCAGTGTTTGCATTTAGGATTCAGTGACATTAATTACGTTCTTGATATTGTGAAACCATTGTCAGCCTGCTCCATATTATTCCATCCCCTTAAACACAAGCCACTGCCCCTCACAGACGTCTCCCCCAGTAACCGGTACGAGGGTTTGGTTTCCATGTGATGTCAGCAGCAGAGTCCTGGTGCTCTGCCCCTCAGTGTCCCTGGTGACACTTCTTCAGCACGATGTCTTCAGGCTCACTGTCTGGTGTGGTTGAGACTGTGTGTCCCTTTGCTGTGTACCGTCCATTCTTCTACCGACCTGTGATGGTGACAAGGACAGCAGTGGACATTGGTGGACAGCTTTAGTTTGTGTTCCTGCCTTCATATCTCTGGTGTGGACCTGGGGTTGGGGTCGCTGAGCGGATGGTAGTCGTGTGTTGCACTTGTTGAGGAGTTGGCCCCGTCCCCACAGCAGCAGCACCAGCACACGAGGGCTCCAGTGCACCGTCTCACTGTCACCCGCTCGGTGTTTTTCTGTCATTGTCATTCCACCCTAGCTCTGGTGGTTGTGGTAAGGAGTTGTGCTGCTAATGGAAAAGTCTGTGGTTCAAACCCCCCAGCTGCTCCACAGGAGGAAGATGGCCAGTCTCTCCTGTGTCATTTACTGCCCCAGAAGACCCAGTGCAGGGTCAGCTATGGGTCGGTTTCAACTCGAACACAAGCAAGTGCTATGGAGGAGCCCTGGTGGTACGTAGGTTAGGCAGTGGACTGCTTCCCTGGAGGTCAGCGTTTGCACAGCAGCCAGTCTGCAGGAGGAAGATGAGGCCTGGGCGTCCATGAACATTACAGCCTCGGAAACCCAGGGGGCAGTCTGGCTCCGGCCTGCAGAGTCTCAGTCAGAACGGACTTGGTGGCGGTGTGTAATGTGGTTTGTGATGTGGAGCGTCTTGTCAGGTGCTGTTTGAATATCCTTCGGGTGAAATGTCTCCTTTGTCCGTATTTTGATTGGGTGGTTAGTTTTTCCTCATTGGTTGTAATGTCTTTAAATAGCTGGGAAAAATCCAATTAATGCTTCCATTCCCCTTGAAAATGAGAGGAAGTCCATCTCCAGCAGTCATGCTGTCTGCACTGCACGGTTGTGACAGAGCCCAGGGTGTGACCTGCAGCCCTTCTCGGAAGCCGCTTTGCGCCCGCTCGGGGACACACCATTCCCTCTCCCAGACCAGACCCACGTGCATGGCCACGCTCCTGATGGCCATCTTGGTTGTTCAGAACTCGCATCCCTCCAGCTTCTGACTGTGTGCAGTTTAGACACGGCCAATCTCCCAGGAGAGCTGGTGCCTCGGAGCTGTAGCGGGGAGGGGGTGAGCAGGGAGAAGAGGCACACGAGGTGTGTGCCGTGCGGGCGTGTCCTGGGCGGTGATAGAGTCCCACTCCAGCGGCTCCCACAGTGAGATGGTTTTAGATTTTCATTATTATTGTCTTTTGTGATCAGGAGCTTTATAAATCATAACATTGAGTGTATGCTGGTGATACTGTCACCAGGTTACACACTGTGCACACCTCACGGTCTGAGTCAGGACTGCCTATCCGAGCAGTACCTGCAGCACCTCAACACTCCCAAGAGTACAATTCAGGGACGTTGGTGACATGTCCTCCAGGCTGGGTGACCATCCTTGATAGCCCTTTCTGAGCCATCCTGCCACAGTTTCCCTATACTCACTGCCCTTCGGGCATAAACTCTCCTCTTTCTGCCAACCTCTGGTACCACGGACAACTTTTGGCTTAATAGAAATGAGATCATTTCTCCTTTTGGACTGATTCCACTCAGTGCCACGTCCCTGGTGTTGTGGCATGGACGGGGATATCGTTTCTGCTTCTGGCCGAGTGGTGGGTGCGGCATATATGTAGCATGTTTTGTTTAGTCATGCATCTGGTGGGGGTGTGAGTTCTTCGTGTTCGGCTGTTGTCACCAGTGCTGTGTGCAGGCCTTTGCACCCCTGCGTCCGGCTCTGGGGGCTCCCTCGGAATGGAGGTGTTAGGTTCAGGTGTGTGAGGAACCATCCAATCTGTTTGTAGCAGCCACATTATTTTACGTCCCCACAGCAAGGTGTGAGGGTTCCAGGCTTTCCACATCCTTGCCAACACTTGCTCTTTTCCATTAAAGTTGAAAAAAAAACAGTGGCCACACTAGCAGGAGTGGCATCTCCCGTGGTTCCGGCGGCGAGGGACAGCTGTTGACAAGCTGAAGTGCATGTTGGCTTGTCTGTTTTCAGAAATGCACAATCCACATTTTCAGACTGGCTTCACTGTTACATTCTGGTGACTGGGGGGCTGGTGAGGAGGGTCTCAGGTTGCGGGTATGGCAGCTTGTGGCCTAGGTGGGGCTGGAGTGCTGCGGCCTGGTGTCGGTTCACTGTGAGGAGGGACACCCACCTTGGAGCCCAGATGAGGGTCTCGCAAGCTGAGTTGTGACCCTGTGCTCTCCCGTCACCCAGGGCCACTGAGCCCTGACTCTGTCCTGTCACCCAAGGCCACCTGGTTCAGTGACCCCCTCTTTAGGCTGTACTGTCCCTTGGAGGGAGGACAGTCACCCTTTCCTCATGACCTTCCCACCTTCCTCCCAGGAGGAAGTTCTCATTGCTGGTCTGGTCAGCCCTCTGCTCTTTGCCTAAGATCCTTGGGCCTGTGTGACAGGCTCTCTGCCCCGTACCTGCCTCACTTGGGTCCCTGACACGCTCGCTGCCCTGAGACCTGATGGTGGACGACCAGCAGGGGGCTCCAGAGAGCAGGGTGTGAGGTGCTCCAGCGTCACTAAAGCCTGTCCTGCCCTTTGCTTCCTAGGTGACTGAGACCGGCCTCGGAACCACCCACTAGTTACGGTAAGCACTTCTCATCTCGTGCAGGCCCAGGCAAGGGGGCACCTGCCAGGTGGGTGCCCACCCCGTTAGTGGGGCGAGGGGCACAGGGTTCCTACCATGAACAGATGAAGCCACTTTGCAACAGCCCCTCCTGTGTCCAGGTGGAGGCCATCTCCCTAACCCAGCCCATCACCCAGGTGCCCGGCCCAGGGCTTAGCAGACAGCTGACAGGTGGAAGCTGTCTCCTTAGCCCGGCCCCTCACCTGGTGCCCAGGACTTAGCAGACAGGTGACAGGTGGAGGCCATCTCCCTAACCCAGCCCATCACCCAGGTGCCCGGCCCAGGGCTTAGCAGACAGCTCACAGGTGGATCATGGCCCAGAGGGAGAAGCCTGGCCTCTCCCACCTTTTCTTGGTTCCTGGTAATTCCACTCACCTGGTCAGGGGTCAGGGTCACTCTCATGAAGCCCACGTCAGACCAGGCAGTCTGAGGCCGGCCGAACCCCACTTGGGTGACAACTGGGCTTCATCCAGCTCCTAGGAACCTCACTCCTTACAGAGAATCACTGGGACTCGGCAGACCTCATTGTTTCTACCATGAGAAATGACCCCGTTTCCTCTTTGTGTCCTCAGGCTTAGAGACCTTGGTCTCACTGAGGACTCCGGCCTGTGCATTGGGGTGAGGTGGGCCTGGAGTGGTGCCTTGTTATACCGCCTCAGGGAAGTCACTAGGGGTCCCAACTCTTGACCTTGGGATTCACCCACGGCCACTCCCTTTTGTCTTTCAGATTCAACATGTTCAACAGAAGCCATCCCAACCCAGCTTAAATTATAAACGGAGAAAGGAACTGTTCAAATCTGCGTGGTGCTTCTTTAGTCAATACTGTACAGATTTTACCATGGAGAACTTTTTTTTAGTTTTGACGTTTTTTCTTAATTGCCCTTATTCCAAATGGATGAACACTTTCTACAACTGCTGACCATTGTACAGTACTGTGTATATAAACCACGTTGAGAATAATGCCCTGGAATAGAACATCTCAAATGCTGCTTAATTACAGACTCAGGTTGATTACTTGTCGTTCACGTAATGTTCCTCCACGTTAGACATCTGGTGCAAGGCCAACCGGAAACAATGGAATTATTAAAGTACCAACAAGTGACAACGTGTATATTTAACTTAAAGACTTATTTAAGAGTCACGGCTCTCGGCGCGACTTCCGAGAGCAGTTTGTTCTCTGTAATGTCTGACCCTAGAAACTCATTTGCTTCCTATTTTAGTTGTATTCAAGATTTGAAGATGTATTTTATAGACAAGTTCTGTTTTTGAACTTCGTGGAGCTATTCCAATCACTTTACCAGTTATGATGAGTATTTACATTATGAATGTATAATCCAAACATTATTTGTAAAGCCTACAGTATGTTTTTATTACCCAGCCCTTTTGATACAGTGTCGCTTGTCTTTGACTCTATGGTACAGGCGTCTGAGTCATCCGCTTGGTCCCTCAAAGTTCCTAGTTACAGACAAATTCATACTGTGATTTTATTTTTAATATGGATATGCTATCAAACTGTGATACACTTATAATTCACTGGTCCTGCATCAGGAGATGGAGTGGGGAAAACTGTATGTAATACAGTTTGTTATCTGAATAATCTGTATGGTTTATACAGTTTGTGTTGTTCAGAGATGTCTAAAGTTTGATCTTTGTTTTTTTAAAGATTAAAAAGCACTTGCCCCACTGTAAATATACAGCATGTAAAATTTATATAGTATATAAATGGCAGCAAATTAAACACGTTGTGTGGTCTTTTTTACCCTGATTTCCCCTTTGCTAACAGGTACACCCCTGTCCCATCAAGTTCAGGTCAGAAGCAGCATCTCTTTTTAAATCGAATCTCAGACAACCTTGTTCAACAACAGATTTTATTGAGTAAACAGTATTTGCAAGAACTTCTAGAGCCCCCTCCTCTTCAATTCTCTTTTAACTATTCACTTTACAAGAAAATATCAAGATACAGACCATTTCTTCCTGCAAGCTGTGGGATATATACACGGAGGAACACATTCCAGAAATCCATAGATATGTACATTATTTACATACTAACTATATTTACTGTAAATAGAAATGTTTTCCAAGGGAAAAAAAAAGGAGAGCACAGCTTGTGGTTTCTGGTCTACCATAGACCTGAGTTCTCAGCAAGCACTTCTACACAGATATACGCATTTCTAACTTAAAAATATGCATTGCTTTAGCTGAAGCACTGAATGCTGCTTCATGATAAATAGCTCTTGTTTGAACTTGGTTTGGTACCACATTTTAATTGTCAAAAAACAAAAGTTACCTGACCCTGAAGACATGGCTGCATGGCTGGGGCCCAGGACCAGTCCCTCAGACCTCAGGACGTTAACGGGGCCGGCAGAGCACCCAGTGAGGCCACGGTGGCACAGGCTTCATCATGCTCACGCCTCCCTTTGTCTCTGGAGGAGGCGCTGCCGCAGCATGGATGAAGACGCAGGATGGCAAGGATGATGAACGACTGACGGGTTCAGTTGGGCAGCGGGGAAGACGGCAGCCCACCTGCCCACGGTGTTAACACTGTCACAACCAGACCTGGGATGGGATGGCACATGACACTAAGCACCCTGGGCTCTGGACGGCTCCAGCAGGCTTGAGGACAGTCCCTCATGGACAACCACAGCGGAGGGCTCGCTCCCCAACACCACACAGCCCCATGATGACGGTGGGAAGTCAGGAGAGAGAAGAGTGGTATCTCTGGGCATCGGCATCAGGCCAGCTGGCCTGGGCCACTTCTCATGGAAGACTGGAGCCGGAGTTGCATATAGACCAGCCAGGCCATTCTAAAATGCTGACTGATGCTTTTCTCAAAACCAAGTTTTGAATCTGAGGTATTAATATAGTAACAGCCTGAAAATCTGGGAATGAAGAAAAGGGGGGAAAAAAAGAGATGGGATGTGCAGTGGAGGGTCCCGGGCTGGAAGGCCCCTGCCTCGCCATCGAGGGTGACTTAAAGCTACTCGCAGGCAGAGGGCCAGCCCCTCCGTCCCAGCATCAAGGCATCGCAGGGTGAGCGTCGTTCTGCTCAGAGTGGAGTGAGTGCATCTAAGCTAAGCTTTCCTTTCTGGTCCTTCCCTTCTGCGCAGACACAGTCAAGGCGTGCCTGTGCAAACGGCTTTGGGGACAGGAAGACCTGGGTGGGGAGAGCCTCGTGGTGAGAAAGCGGTCACGTGCAGGCCCAAGTGCTGTGTGTAGTCAGGACCTCGCTCACGTTAGGGAAGGAGGCCTGGCTGCATCTGAAGGTCCGGGAAGTGCTTGGAGGCCCAAACCTGCTCAGTACGCCTGGTCTGGGGCTGGGGTCTAGGGATCCAGACACTTCAGTGCTGACTCTGTGGGCTCCAGCTGCTTCCGTGCCTGGTCTAGGCAAGGCTGCACGTACGGCTCATGCGCCTCCTTCCCACAATGGGAGATACATCTCTGAAAACATGGCCTGGTGCTAGGGAAACACAGTTTATTTCTAGTTCCTTCTACAACTGTCACTACATGAACAGATCTGTTGATAGGTTTTAAAGAACAGTATGGCTGAAAGCTAGCAAGACCGGCTCTTGGAGCCCTAGGGCCCTGTGGGTCAATGCCACCACCCTGCGGTTCTCTGGGATTCAGCGGGCATGTTACAAACCATGCTCCAGGGAAACTACTTTATGCTTGACGACGGTCTGTGGGCTATGAAATGTCAAAGTTGGCAGAGCAGTGCCAGGTTTCGTCACACCTGAGGCCCTGCTCCTGCTGCCCACGCCTTAAGTACTTCCCTCCCACAAGGACTCTTGGGCCCCTCTAGGAGGTGGAAGCATGCTGGGCTTCCCCCACACCTCCCTCTACCTGACAATGGTCGGCGGGTCCTGGCATTTGCTGGCCACACCAGCCCCCCAAATTGCCAGAGCCCCAAACTAGGCCCACTGCCATGTGCATATATCATGAGTGCACAGTATGGACCGTGTCCACGGGTGAGTTATAGCTGCCATTCTAAAAATACTACTGTTAGATAAGGATCTGTCATCATTTCAGAATACAAAAAAGTGTATAAAAGCTACAATCTTGTATATCTGAGGGGGAAAAAGAATAAAAAAGCAGTCACTTTTCCTTTCCTGGGAGGCTGCGAGATGGCCAGCCGCAGGGGCCAGGCCCTTGTCCTCAGAACACGGGCTCGCGCTGGAGCAGCAGGAGGGAGATTGTCTGACAGCTCGCCAGTGACGTGGGTTCTGGGCACGCAAGGCTCCGAGTGCGGCGGCCCAACCCCTCGGAAGCTGTGGCCCTCCAGCCACGTCTCCCGAAGGCCTCCGCGGGCGACGTCTCAGGCAGCAAGGGAGGCCGCTCCTGTCACTTTCTGCTGTGGGGTTCTGGGTTTTTACCTTTATCTTCAGAGCCAGGAAAGCACTACTTTTTATTGGCAATCCTTCTCTTCCTCGTTGCCAACATGTCATAGAAAGGATCCCTGCTGATGCTTGCTCTGGTGGGAACAGGAGACAAGTGGGGTTAGGACCGAGCAGGGACACACAGTGGTCCTACTTAGCAGCCTGGGCCAAACACCCTAAACCCCAGGGGTCTGGAGTCCATTCCAGCCACAGAGACCCCACAGGACAGGGTAGAACTGTCCTAGGAGGTTTTCAAGGCAGTGACCTTCATGGAAGCAGGGGGATGCCATCTTTCTCCTAGAGGCAACTAGTGGGTTTGAACCCGCAACCTCTCAGTAACCAGACAGTTCCCCACTGTGTTCCTAGGTCTCTTGGCCACAAGCCTGGCCCTCATCAATCTAGGGTCCTTAAGCCCTTGGATTAATCTCCTTGGACGCCCGTGCCCGCCCGGTCCCGCTCACTTGATGGACTTGATCCACTCGTCCTTCTCCTCGGGGGTGGGCGCTGAGATGCGGTACACCACGTGGTTCCCCTCCACCACACGCCCGTCGGCCTCCGTCTTGCAGGCCTTGATGACTTGCCCCTTGTGGCTCGGGTTGTAAAGCTCAAAACAGTTCTAGGGGGACAGAGACAGAAGGGCATCACCAGGTGTCCAGGGTCAGGCCCAGGGAAGAACCGGTCAAGAGGCAGCGTCTTACTGGTTTCCGCGGGTCCTCCACCTCCCGGATGCTGAGGTTCTCCAGTGGGATGATTCCCCGAGGCTCCTTGTCCTGTATGTCAAGAAGACAAAGATTCTCGCCACTGGACCAATTAGCAGTGTCAGGATGGATGACGAAGAGATTGAGAGTGTTCACAGCTTCCGTTTGCTCAGCTCCACAGTTAACACTCTGGGTACGAGCAGTCAGGAAATCAAAAAGCGTATCGCGATGGGAAAGTCTGCTGTTAGGGACCTAAGGTACTCAGGAGCAACAGTGTCTCTCTGGAGACTAAGGTGCGCCTGATACAGGCCATGGTCTTTGCAATCGCTTGTTATGCATCAGAGAGTTGGACAATGACTAGGGAGGACAGAAGGAGAGTTGATGCTTTTGAGCTGTGGTGCTGGAGAAGGGTACTGAATGTACCATGGACTGCCAGGAAAGCAAAGATTCATCTTGGAGAGGATTAAACCAAGCTACTCCTTGGAGGCAAGGATTCTGGGGCTTCGTCTGACATACTTTGGACATGTTGCCAGCAGGGACGGGTCCTTGGAGAGGGACATCATGCTGGGTATAGAGTGGAGGGACAGCGCAGGAGGGGAAGACCCTCTATGAGATGGATTGATTCGGTGACTGGGGTAATCGGGATGGGTGTGTCAGAGGCGGTGCGGTTGGCGCAGGACAGAGCAGGGTTTAGGGCTGTTGTGCATAGGGTCGCTATGAGTCGGAAACGACTCGACGGCACATAACAACAACAACAACCTTGTCCTGTACGAGAGAGGCCACGTCCAGGTCACTGAGGCGGGATCGTGCGACCCCTGGGGACGGGCAGGCCGCGGCACTCACCGTCGTGTACTCGAAGTAGTAGAGGCAGTTGTCGGTCAGGATGAACCAGCGCCGCTTCCAGGTCTTCACTCGACCGCCTGCCAAGCAGAGGGTCTGATGAGCTCGGCACGGTGCCCCAGGACCCCAGCTCGGCGGTCAGCTTCCCTCCCCAGAAAGCTGAAGGCCAGCTGGCCCCCCACATACACCCGAGGCGCCCTGGTAAGGCAGCCGTCTGAGGTCTGCTTCCCAGAAAAGAGCCGGCCGACAGGCCCCAGCCCCGGGTGGAGGCGGCCCCGCGGCCCCTGATCCTATTAGGCCGCGAGCTCATCGCATCCCGGGCACCAAGGCCCAGGCAGGCCTCTCCCAGGAGGGATCTTCACCCTCACACACGCAGACACGGGGCTGGCTTCAGCTTTCTTGGCCCTTGCTCTGACATCAAATTTTGCTTTTTAATGAAGATAAAAAGAAACTTTGAGCAACACATTCAACAGCGACACAAGGGACAAGGTGGGGAACTGCTGCAGGCCCAAGGGTGCCACATCATAGGGGTGCTGACACTGAGTGGGGCCCCAGCTCACAGGGTGCGCAGGGCTGTGGGGCCGTCAGGGTTCAGGGCTTCCTCAGGACGTGAGTCAGTGAGGGAGGAGACAGCGTGTGGGTGAGCTGAGGTGTGGGATGGAGGGAGGGCCGGCAGGGAGTGACGCTGAGGTGTGATGAGGTGCGGTGCGCAGAGGTCAAGTGAACAGGTAGAGGGAGGTGAGGGAGGTGAGGAGGTAGAGTGTGATGCACTGAGGTGAGGAGGTGAAGTGAGGTGGGGTGAGGGAGGTGAGGAGGTAGAGTGTGATGCATGGAGGTGAGGAGGTGAGGTGAGGAGGTATAGAGTGTGATGTGCTGGGTGAGGAGGTGAGCAGGTAGAGTGGGCTGTGCTGGGCGAGGTGTCAGGGGCCAGTGGAGTCGAGTCCGGCCCCCAGCGCCCCGTGAAGGACGGTCTGAGCCCTGCCCTCTGCTGGGCCATGTCCCCCTGCACTCTGGCCTCCACAGCCGGGTTGATCTATCTGGTTGAGGGTCTTCCTCTCTTGTGACCCACCTTTCCCAGCAGGATGCCCTCTCCCAGGAACAGCCTCTCCTAGCAACATGCTGGGACCTGCCGAGGGGCACTGTGTCCGCACCTCCTGACACTCTGCTTTGATCTCAGTGAGGGAGCGGAGATGAAGTGGGCTGAGGACCAGGGCTGCACAGTGAGCCTGGCCAGGCGACAGGGAGCTCGGGGACAGGGAGGGCCTGAGGTGCGCTGTGGGGGCTGCGGTGAGAGCAAGGGTGAAGGCAGGAAAGGCACGGAGGTGTCAGGTGAAGTGAGGACAGGTGACAGGAGTGAGAGGTGAGCTGAGGTCCAGGACAGAGAAGTGAGGAGGGAGGAGATATGAGGGAGGGGAGTTGAGAAGCAAGAGGAGTGGAGGAGAGGTTCAGAGAGGTAAGAGGAGGTGCCATTCGAGGGGAGGTTCGGCCAGAAGGACACAAGGAGACAGATGAGGTGGGGAGGCGGACTGAGGACAGGTGGGGTGCGGAGAGGCATTCAAGAAGCAACTCATGGTGCTGAGTGTGGAGAGGACCGGGAGGCCTGCTGAGGGACAGTGAAATGAACACACTGGGGGAACCCTGGAAGCCAAGCATTACAGAAGACGGGGGGCAGGAGGGCCAGGGGGACCCCCGACAGAACTGTGGTCTGCGCAATCAGGGTACGAGAAAACCCAGCTGGGGTGTGGAATGAGCGGAGCCCAGTGCCTTTCTCTACATCTGCACCCCAAGAAGGCCTCACCACTCACGGACTCCACCCAGATGGTTCATTCTTCTGAGGCTCAACACATCTCCCTGACTGGGGTCTGAGCGCACACCTCACCTTCATGCCCACCCCCCAACTCTCTCTCTCTC